AGACCATGACCTGAGCCAAAGGCAGAGGCTTAACCCACTGAGTCACCCAGGCGCCCGGGGCTCATTGGTTTTAACTGATGTATCCTGGACAGCGAATTTAAATGATCTAGTATTCGATAAGCAATAACACACGTGACATTGCTTTTTTTCTACTTTTTAGCGATCATAAAGAATGCGGTTATGAACATTTGTATAGTCTTTCTTGTGGTTGCTGGGTAGCTTCTCTACATCCTTGCCAGCATTTGGTATTATCACTATTTTTTATTTACACTGTCCTAATTGGTGTATAATGATGTCTTTTCATGGTCTTCACTTGCATTTCCATAACAGCCAGTGATGCTAAACATCTCTCAAGTGTTTACCACTTATATACCCTGTTCAGCAAAATGTCTCTTTGCCCATTTTCTAATTGAGTCCTTCTTTCCTGCCTCTCTCATTTCCTTCCCTCCTTCCCTCCCTCCTGTTGTGAAAGTTCTTTATAGTCTAGATTTGAGTCCTTTATCAGATATGGGGTTTACAATGTAGTCTGTAGCTTTTCATTCTCTATTAACAGAGTTTTCATTTTGGTTAAGTCAAATTTATTGATTTCCTTCTTTGGGGATGTGTTTCTGTGTCTTGTGTCTAAGAACTCCTCACCAAGTTCTTCTAGGTCCTGAAGATTTTCTCTTAAAAAAGGTTTTTGTAAGTTTACACTTTATATGTAAACCTATGATCCACTTTAATTTTTGTATATTGTCTGGCTGGGCTTTAGGCTGGGGTTCTCTTTTTGGCCTTGGCAGATCCAATCATTCCAGCATCATCTGCTGAAGCCTATCTTGCCTCCCATGAGCTCGTTCTGCGTCTTTGTAAAAAATGAGTTGCCATGGGACACTTGGGTGGCTCAGTCAGTTGGGCCGCTGCCTTTGGCTCAGGTCGTGATCACAGGGTCCTGGGATCAAGTCCTGCACTGGGCTCCTCACTGGGCAGGGAGCCTGCTTCTCTCTCCTCCTCTGCCTGCCACTCTGCCTACTTGTGCACACACACTCTCTCTCTGACAAATAAATGAATAAATGATCTAAAAAAAAAAAATGAGTTGGCATGGGACGCCTGGGTGGCTCAGTCAGTCAAGCGTCTGCCTTCGGCTCAGAGTCCAAGATCAAGCCCCATATTGGGCTCCCAGCTCAGCGGGAAGTGTTTCTCCTTCCGCCACTCTCACGTTCTCACGCTTTCAAATAAATAAATAAATAAATAGATAGTCGTCCGTTCTTATTTGGGGCAACTTGAGTTTCTTACTCTTTCCCATTGATCTATGTGTCTGTCTTCCCCCCAACAGCCCCACCTTGATGGCAGGGGGTCGAGAATCATGAATTCAGGGGGTCAGGGGGCACCTGGCTGACTCATTCGGTAGAGCACGGGACTCATCTTGGGGTCGTGCCTTCCAGCCCCAGGTTGGGTGTGGAGAGGACATTAATAAACTTTTTAAATCACGAATTCAATATCCTTAGTAATTACAGCTATGCAGATTATCTATTTCATCTTCTGCGAATTGTGGTAGTTCATGTTTTTCAAGGAATTGGTCCATTTCATCAACTTTTCAAGTTGATGTGGATATCTACTGTCTCCCCTTTCTGTCTTTCTGAGGTCTGTGGTGTTGAGAGCGCAGCCTTATTGCATTCCTAATATTCGTAACTTTGTCCTTGTCAGTCTTGCTAGAGGTTAGCCAATTATTGATTTTCGCAACGTTTACCAGTTTCTCTGCTCACCACTTCTTCCTGCATCCTGTGGCAGGCACCACTGGCTGCCTTCCCAGGACTCTTTCTACCCTTCTCCCTTTCTCGTGGAACCTCAATTTCAATCATGGTGGCGATGTGCCCAGCTTAGAATACCCTTACTCCCCACATGTCTGCAGAGAGGGCAGGATGTGACCCAGTCATGGCTGATCAGATGTGAAGGCAAGCCTGGGGGACTGACTGGGCTTGAAGCCACGGTTCCCCCAGCTGGCTTGCCCCTTGCCTTTCCCCCTCCTGCCGATACCTCCCACCTGGGGGTGCACAGGCTCCTCGGGGAGCTAAGGACAGCAGCTGGGGAGACAAAAAGGACCCGTGTCCCTGGAGCCACTGTATCGCCATGGATATGACACAAGGAACAATAAAGCCCTCCTTGTCTGAGATACTGTTTGTGCCAAATGCAGCCCGGATTCTTCCACCCCTCTCCGGGCTCCCACCATGGCTCCTCTTGCTCTGGAACTTTCCCTGCTAGTTCCTCCGGCAAAGATCTGTGCATAGCCAATACTGGGTATCAGAAGCCCGAAAGAAAATGTCTGGACCTGATGATTGACCGACATTTGTTTCCTTGGCATTCGGGAAAAATGTCTTGTAGAATCCACTACTGATGAAAATGGAACTTATTCATTTATAGGCTGTTGGGATTTTTTCCATGTAGCTTGGATGGTTTTTCTCTTTACCCTCAATGCTCTAACCCAGACCCCTGTAGTGAAACAGCAGGTGGGGCCATTAAAAAAAAATCCCACTTCACACTTCCCAAGTAATACACGTTGTGAATGCTGGAGATTTCTCTCCTTAAAGATGTAAGTGTGGGGGGCCCCTGGGTGGCTCAGTGGGTTAAGCCTGTGTTCGGCTCGGGTCATGATCTCAGGGTCCTGGGACTGAGCCCCACATGGGGCTCTCTGCTCAGCAGGGAGCCTGCTTACCAGCTCCCTACCCCCCGACCCCCGTCTGCCTCTGCCTACTTGTGATCTCTGTCACATAAGTTAAAATTTTAAAAAATTAAAAAGTATGTGGGTGACGGGCACCTGGGTGGCTCAGTCATTAAGTGTCTGCCTTTGGCTCAGGTCATGATCCTGGGGTTCTGGGATCGAGCTCCTCACTCTGTGGGGAGTCTGCTTCTCGCTCCCCCACCCTCCCACTTGTGTTCCCTCTCACTGTCTCTGTCAAATAAATTTTTTACAAATAAATATATAAAAATAGCATCAGACTTTTTTTAAAAGGTGGTTTGATACGTTGACTATAATTAATGATGTACTTGGATTCATTTACTTGTCCTATGTTTTTTTTTTCTCTCTTGAACTTCTTTTGGGTAATCTATCTATCTTCCTTTCTCCCTTTCTTTCTTTCTTTTTCTTTTTTTCCTTAACTGCTTTGGAAGTGGTACACCATTTCTATTCTATTAGATTGATCCTAGAAATGTCCGCCTGCCTGTAGAGCAGAGTCTAGGGTCTACATGGAGTTCCTTCTCTCTTCCCGAGTGAGCTGAGCTCTGTAGAGGGTTATAATCCCCACCACGTCTCACCCGGGCAGGAGTGTGTAAATACCACTACTGTCACATACTCTAGTAGCCCTGGTCTTACTTTCACCCCATAGAACATTCTCATTTCCTAAGGTTGATACCTATTTAGATTTCCACTTTATTTCTCTTCATTCCTACTTATAACAGATTTTCCATCTGGGATCGTGTCTCACTCCAATCTGAAGACATCCTATAGAAAAATTTTTTTCAAAGGAGAACACTGGGGCGCCTGGGTGGCTCAGTGGGTTGAGCCTCTGCCTTCGGCTTGGGTCGTGGTCTCAGGGTCCTGGGATCAAGCTCCACATCAGGCTCTCTGCTCAGCGGGGAGCCTGCTTCCCCCTCTCTCTCTGCCTGCTCTCTGCCTGCTTGTAATCTCTCTGTCAAATAAATAAATTAAAAGAGAATAAAAATTAAAATAAAAAAAGGAGAATGCTTATTTATTTCATTTTTTAAGAACAGCTTTAGTGAGAATATACATCGCCTACACTTTGCCCACTGGAAGTGTACAAATTCAACAGCTTTTAGCATACCCATTGATTTGTGAAACGACCCACCACAATCCATTGTGCAGTATTTTCATTACCCCCCAAACAGATTTTCTTTCCATGTGAGTCTGCTGGTGACAAAATCTCTGGGTTTGCTTGTCTAAAAATACCTTGTAAGGTATTTTCTCTGGGTATAGAATTGTAGGTTGACAACTTCCTTCTGTCTAGTTAACGATGATACAGGCAGGTATCCCTCTAGTTACCACCGGCTGCGGCTGAGACATCTGCTGTCTTGCTCCTTAAAGGGTAATGTTATCTTTTCTAATTCTAACATCTTTTCTTGCTCTTTTTGTTCTGCCAACTTGTTGCACTTAACTCTCTAGGTATGCAGTGGTTTTTAAATACGCCCACAAATTCTTAGACCTCCCTTCCCGATGTAGAACCTAATTCTCCTTTGAGTGTAGGCTGGACTTATTTCCCAAGTCACTGGACATAGTGACTTGCTTCTAACAATATAACGTGGCAGAGTATCATTTCCAAGCCCAGGTCATAAAAGGCCCTAGTTTCCCCATACTTTGTCTTGGCTTGATCATTCTGGGGAAAGCCGGCTGCCACAGCGTGCGCGCGCACACACACAAACACTCACAAAAAAGCCTTATGGAGAGAGCCATGTGGCAAGGGCTCAGTGTACACCGGGCTTCTATGAGCCTTCCTGGCGGTGGACAGCATCCCGAAAGCACAGCCTCCAGCCCTGGCCAAGCTTTCAGATGACTGCAGCCCTGGGAACATCTTGACCATGATCTCAGAGACCCCAAACTAGAACTGCCCAGGTAAGCCACTCCCACATCCCTGACCCGCAGAAACGTTCTAATACTAAAGGTCTGTTTTAAGCCACTAAGTTTTGTATGGAATTTGAATGCAGGAATTGATGATTAAGATATGAAAAAGTTTTAAGTGAACTTGCTTACTAAGGTGTAATAAACATACAAAAAATGCACAAATATATTTGGGTCCCTGAATAGTCAAAAAGTGATTATACCTAATTAATCACCATCCATACCGAGAGATGGAACTTCTCTCGAGTGTTGATTTCCTTTTGTTGCCTTGCTTGAGATATATTGATCTCCTTGAATTTGTGGATTGGTGATTTTGAAGAGTTGTTCCAGCCATTAAAATAAATATAAATATATATATATACATATATGTATATATATATATATATATATATATAAAACATCCGCCTCCTTTTTGCCTTTTTTCTCTCCTGGAACTCTAATCACATGTTATGTAGCTCTTCTCACTCTATCCTCTGTATCTCTTAGCTTCTCGTTTTAGGTTATCGATCTGTTTCTTGGCTTGAGGTTTCTCACATGCAAACCCATGTGGGCCGGCTCAGTTCTCAAGGGAGACCTTTCTTCATTCCAGTCAGTGCCAAGGTTCAGTTTTCCTCTGGGATGCCAAGGGAGCGGATCTATTATTAGTTCACAGAGGGCCCTGCCCTTTGCAGCCCCAGCCTTCTGGAGGGTCCTCGTACCAGGTCCCTCATTATGCACAGGTAGTGAGTTGTCTTGGCCCCAGGCACTGAGCACCCCGAAAACCAATGCTATTTCACCTCGCTTGTCACATACCTTCAAGTCAGAGGTGAGACTTCAGCATTCTGCTGCTTCTCCTACCCTCTTGCTTGAGTGTTTTCTACTTTCTTGCCTGGTCACTGAGGCCTTTAAAAGTATTTGTTGTAACTATTTATTTACCTAGTATTTTTAGCTGTTTGCAAAGGGAGGATCAGTTCGGGCCACTGCAGTCCCATGATGCCAGAGACAGAAGTGGTTGGCCATTCCTTCTTTCTCGTTTTCTTTTCCTGATCTCCCATCTGCTCACGGACACCTGGCAGTATGTCCACTTGCCAACCTACCTGCTCCCACTGCTGCCTCCTAGGGCTTCCGCCTAACTTTAAACTGATCAATCCCTCCTCCGATTGTTATTACTTAGCTCCTCCGGTGAGTTGCTTATGGTATGTGTGTGTCTGTGTGTGTCACTTATTTTAATAAACATTCTTTGTTTCCAAGATTACCACCCAGATCTTCCTCCTACCTAAGTTCCTGAGTTAGGGGAGCTGGGTGCCTCTTTTATCTCTGGCGAGAAAACCAATGTTCATTTTAAAGTCTGTAAGGAGGTCATGGTTTCAGTTCCTTGGGGATCAACTCTTCCACCTGGTGGGGTGGTACCCCTTCTTCAAGGCACCGGTCTCCTCATATATTCTGTAACTTTTGTTCGTGCACCCATCGTGAGTGATGGTGTTAGTTTTGCCCTTTCCATGCACGCCGGTTTTCTGTAGTCATACAGAGCTGTAAACGCAGAAGCAAACCTTTCCTCAGCTCTCGGGGTTCCCACTCTGTGGGGCCGGCCACATGCTAGCCCCAGCGCCATCAAGAGAGTGGGAGCCTCGCCGGGAGTCTGAGGCATACGCTGCCACAGACTAGCACCCTGTTTGTACAACAGTCCTGGGCCTGGAGGCACCTTCTCGTCTTTTATTCCCAGGAAGGGAAGGCCGGTCCCAGATGCCATGAGGCAGAGGGAGTCCGGCTCCAGCCCTGCCACCCATGGGCAGGTGTGACCCGGGCTTGCTTGGGAACCAGAGTCCTGGGCCTGCCCGCTGCTCAGTGAGCCACCTACTGCTTTGGCCCTCCATCAGACCTGCTCCCTTCCTGCACAGGTTACCTTCTCAGGGTAGTTTTTAGATGAAAGCATCTGCTTCATTGTATGAATGTGCTGGTGTCGGGGCACATGTACTCACTACAGCTCTGTGACCTGGGTCTTTGGCACTGTCCACCAGAGTCAGGCCAATGTTCCTCCAACTCAGCAGAGGGCAGGATGCACTGGGATGACACTGGGTGGGGGTGGGACACACGAGGGGAAACACTCAAGTGTGTTATCACTTTGGAGATGAAACTCTAGTTGGCCACAGGGACCTGGACTCAGCGCTGTGGCCAGTCACTCCAGATAGTCAGCTCCACAGACGAGGCTCATGGTCCCAATGCCAGGACCCTGGGGACCTAGGGCCTAAGACCACACCCCAAAACCAGGCTCTAATACCCTAGTCTCTAGGAGCCACCCCCCACCCCGGTGCAGGGGCCCCGTCCCAGGGAAGCCACAGTCTAGCTCTGACAGTGACGCAAGAACAGGAACCGCTGGGGGTTGTGAGAGTGAGACACAACAGTGCCAGGAGCCTTGAATCTGGCTCCACCTGGGAGGGAGGCTTGCCAGGACACAGCATACCCCCTCCACATGCCCAGCCTCTCCCTTCTCTCTCACACTGTGAAGGGAACCACAGAGGACCGACACAGAGTGGGAGCCTCTCCAGGCTGGCCAGACATTCCAGCAAGGCCCAGGCCTGTGGGAGGGCTTAGAGAAGCCTCTCAGACTCTCCCTGTCACCCACAGGTTTTGACATGACCGCCTGACTGGACCAGGACCCAGACTCAAAAGGTGGGGTCTGGGCCTTCTGCACTCCTCCAGCCTCGACATGCCTGGTCCAACACAGGGCTTCCTCGTGTGAAGCTTCAGCTCACAGCCGCCCTGTCTGGGGGCCCAAACCCACAGTGCCCCAGGGACCCAAAAAATATATAATAAGTTTCTGCCACACATAAGCGTCTGATTGCTTCTATTTCTAGGGATAAAAGAAACTTCCAATTACACAAATATGTACAGACACAGCAAGCCCATGGGGTTGCTGTTGGCTCTGCCCCTCTCGGCATGGTGAGGACCACTCAGGAGACAAGGAGCTGACCTCACCCCAGGCAAGGGTTTCTGGCTGGTGGGGCAGTGTAGTTCTGGAGCCAAATAGGAGGTAACAGTAAGCCCAGCCCCCACCCTTGCCCAAGGCCACCCGCCCATAGGACAGGCATGATGGTGGGGGTGGGGGGGATAAGGCGTGCCTCAGTCGGAGTCGCAGGCCTCTTGCTCCGTCGTAGCATCCACTGCAGAGGCGAGGCTGTCCTCCTGGCCTTTTAGCCTCTCACCTGGATGGATGATAGAAGCAGTGGGGAGGGGCCCTGTGCTTGGGCCACCACCCAGAGGGCAGGGACCCCACCTTGCTAGGCCCTGTACTTACGGATCAGCTCGGCAATGGCCCTCTGGGTCCGCTTTTCTAGCTTCTCCAGCTTTTTAGCTACGTCTCTCTTGAGGTCCCTGTAGCAGGCAGGTGCGAGGAGGCCGGAAGGTGAGAGCTGGCTTGGTGTGGCCTTGGGACCTTCCCCTCCCAAAGCCCCTGTGGTGGTAGGAATCACACTCAGCTGCCTGAGGAGACTACCCTGGGGAGGCAGCCAGGACCTTCCCCTCTCCGTCTGTGTGCTCTCCCAAACCCGGCATCGGCCAACAGGCCCTGGCCCGCTGAGGCAGCAGCTGGTGCTGCAGACCCACCGGCCATGGGCCCGAGTCAAGGTGTGCAAGGGTGGATGGCTGCTCAGGGTGGCCCTCTTGGTTTGGTCTCACTGTGGGTCCTGCTCCTCCTCCAGCCACATGCTCACTCTCGCCAGCAGGGGCTTCCAGAAGCGCGCACACAGCCTACTCTCCCCACTCTGGGATTCCTAGGACGCACGCCCCATGCTTTTGTTTCAACAAATGAGAACACCTTCAGTGGGGCCGTGCCTGTCACAGGATCGCGGGTACGAGGGATGCGGCCCGCCACTCTGGCCCAAGGTCAAGCAGAACACAAGCCCCAGGCCACGCAGCCCTCTCTCACCCTCTGTAGCAGCCTGGTCACAGGGGCACTGGGGAAGGACACGCAGTCCCCTTTCACAGGAGAGGAAACTGAGGCCCTAGCAGAACCAGGCCAGGCGGAGGCAAACTGGGACAGAAATTGACATCTGCCCTTCCCATCACCTTGCCTCCATCATGTGGCTCCGTGAGGGCCACGGCTGGCCTTGCTCAAATGCAACTCTCTGAGGTGGGCCGGATCCTCGCCCTAGCAGAAGGGACTTCTAGAGGGGACGGCTGCTGCTCCCTCTCCCCTTCCCGCCCTCCAGGTGTCGCCCCCACAGGCCTCCCTCTCACTCTCCCTTTATGTCCTGCCAGGAGGTTCTGCGGGCAGTTGTTAGCTCATGTAGCTGCGTGTCCACACTGTCCATCTCCCTGCTTTGAGGGCGGGAGAGGCCCAGCCAGAGGGCTGTGCCCAGCACGAGTGGCCAGTCAGTCCACGCTAGTCCTACATGGCAGCGCTCACCAGTCAGGCTTCCGGGGCGCGAGGTTGGCCAGGTCCTGGGGAGGAAGCAGACACATGTCAGGACTGGAGGGGCCCAGCCCCAGGGCACAGAGGTAGAAAGCGGGGAACAAGGGAGGGAGGGAGGAGAGGGTCAGGGAAAAGTGGGGTGGAAAGGGAATACAGAAGTGGAAAGACAGAATAAACAAAGCAAAAGAGAGGAGAGCATGGGGCAGGGAGAGGGAGCAGAGGAGGGCCCCCAGTGGGTTCCCGGAGCACTCAGGACGCTCACCACTTCCTCAATGATGGGCTCAGGCTTGGCGGCCTCCAGTTGCTCCTTCACCTTCTCTTCCACTAGAGGGCGCAAGACAACCACATAGGCCGGTCGGAAAGGTGCCGCCATTCAATGGGGCGCACCCTGCAGCCCGGGGAAGGGGAGAGGGTGCAGGCGGGGACCCACCCGTGGAGACCCTGGGCTTTCTTGGCCCTCTCGCGGGGCTCCCAACCTCCAGAGACTAAGACTGCAAAGGCAGCCCTGGAGGAAGGGCTTGGGGTTCCCAGGATGAAAGCAATCCTGGGGTGAAGGAGGGCCCGCAGAACTGGACCGCTAGAAAAGACAGCGCGCAGACCTCCAGCCGGGGCAGACTTCCAGCCAGAACGCTGGGCTGGTACTCTCCCCTGCTGGGAAATGCAAGCACTGCCTGCGTATTTCCACAGACAGTTTTGTGAAGAACCATGAGGACCAGCTTTCCCGTACTCTAAAGGGGCTCCTGGGCTCTGAGAGTGTCCTCTGGGTGCCCTGGACTGGCCGGGACCCAGGTGTCTTTTCTTCCCATCCCACTTGGATATGTGTGACCTGGGGAACAGCTGTCCTCACGCACCTCCCAGCTACGCCCCGTGGCTGACCACGCACAGGGCCTATCGGTGATGAGACCAGGAGGGCCTTGGCCCCTGGGGACAGAGACCAGGAGCCCTAATGACAAGTCTGGGCTCCAGGAGCTTCCTCCGACCCCCATCACTGTGGCCACGTGCTGCCTCCTGGCCCCGCAGCCCTGCCTTACTTCCCTCCAGCCACAGGTGCTGACCCAGTGGCATGGGACCACTCCCCGCCCCCTCCCTTGTCCGGCCTTACTGTCCCCCTCACAGTGCGGCCCACACCATGAAGCAAATCACCTGGAAAGCATGTGAATCTCGGGGCAAACAACATGGGGAACCAGACTGGGCTGTGACTGAAGGGGCAACACTTTACTATTTTCAAGATAAACAATTACTCATTTATAACTTGGAGAATTCAAAACTGGTAACACAAAGGCTAAACACAGGGCTAGGGACCCCCGGGCTAGGAGATGCCCGGCATCTCCAGTGTGCAGCCCTCCCACGAGCTCCTGGCATTGAGCCGCTCCCCACACCGCGGGAGAAGGGCGGCCTCGGGGCTGGACCCTCGCCTCCCAGCATGAACGCCTCTCCCCTTCTCTGCGCCCGGTGGGCGTCTGCCCACAGCCCTCTGAGCGCCTGAACACTCTGCTCTTCTTCGGGGTCTCACTCGGACCCCCAGGTGCCCACAGGACCCACCCCACCCTTCCCGCTGCCCTTGCCGTCCCAGGGCCCCAGGGCCACTTCCGTCCCTCAGCCCAGAGGTCCTCCCAGGAGACGTGGCTTCTTCCCTCGCAGGTCCCCGGAAGGCCCTCCGGTGCCCTGAGTGCCTCTGCTGTCGCTCAACATGGGTTACAGCCCCACAGCTGTGAGATGGGGCCGGAGGCTCCTAGAAGCCCGACTTCAGCCCTGGCGCTGCTGGTTATTTCCCAAGGGAACATGACACCTGCCGAGGCGGAGGCATCCAGGGGCGTCTCAGAGCAGAGGTGGAGCGACGCAGCCCACCTACCTGCGACTGGCTTGGCCGGGGGCACCCGCCTCCTCTTCAGGTCCTCATCCTCGGGGACATAGTTCCGCAGCCTGAGTTCCCTATGAGAGCAGACAACAGGCAGCGATGCAGCGGAGGGCGTGGCCACCTCGGTCACCTCCAAGGCCGTGAATCAGACCCTGAGGAATCAGATTCCTCACGGGAATCAGACTGTGAGGAAGCCACACATGCTGGAGTCTCTTGGGAGACAGCCTGGTGAAGAGGGAAAGCACAGGAACAGAAGACTCATGGGGACAGGCCCCCGTTCTCTGAACCTCGGTCCCATCCCCTGCCAGGTAGCAGCTGGGCAGGCCACTCTGTCCTCGCCCAGAGCTGGGGCCAAGGAGTCTTGGGGAGCATTCACGGGCCACCCGTCCCGGAGGAGCTCCATTTGACAGTTAGGGGACCTGAGGGTCCGAGAGGCTGCACCACTGTCATGATGTCCCACGGCAGTAGCTGCAGCGTCTGACTTGGAGTCAGGGCCAGAGCTCCTGGACTGAGTTTCTCCTAAGGGAGAAAAGCCAGTGGTCACCGGGTTCTCCAAGCCTGGCCTCCTCCTCAGAGCCTCTGAGGTTGGGAGCTGCTGAAGCAGAACTCAGGTCTTGGTGGCAAGGGTGCACCTGTGCTAGGGGCAGGCAGCAAGGGCGGAGGACAGGAACAACGGTGTGTGAGGCTGAAGAGCCAGGCCCACCAGGACAGCCAGGAGAACAGCCCAGCCCCAAGGTCGCAAGAGCTCCTTAAAGTGCTCCTGGAAGGACCCTAAGAGCTCTGTGACAGCAGAGGAGCCACGCGGGGACCAGGATCACACAGTGGGCCTGCCTGGCCAGTCCCCTCGGGCAGGGTGGGCCACACCACGGACTTGCCGCCCTGGCTCAGCAGCTCATCCACCCCACGCCCCCACCCAGAAGCTTGCCTGCAGAAGCAGCCCTGGCCAAGCCCACAGGGTGGCAGAGCAGTTCCTGGGGGCTGCTGCTTAATAAAAACCAGAGACTGTGGGCCAGACCATTTCAGCCCTGAGGAAGCAGAAGTGACCCTGACACACCAGCCGGGGAAGCTTGGGCTGGGGGTCCTCCTTCCTCACTACCTCTTCTGAGCCCCTCAAGGACTGCCGGCCCCTCTGAAGTCCTAGACCTCCAGGATAGGGCCTGTCTCCCCAGCAGGAGGGCTCCCACCGTCCGTCACCTATGCCTATGCCGGGCAAAATGGCCACTCACGTCCCTGCGCAGCAAGATTTTCTAGAGCCGAGGCAGCAGGTGTCTGTGGCCATACACTTAGCAAGCGGCAGTGGTCTGAGTTGGGGAGCTCTCTGATGCCAATCATCCCCTAATTCACCAGCCCCACCAGTGCCCTTCTCTGCCAGGGCCCCGAGGGGCAGTGCCGGCATGGCCTGCATGCAGAAAACCTGCCGCCCACTCCCCCAGGCTGCCTCCTCTATGGAGTGGGGAAACCCACCCTGTCCTCTACCTGCTAATGGCTCCCTTGGGCCCACTGGCAAATGCCACAGAGGCACCAGGAGAGAAAGCCGCGAGTGATTTGGTGGAGGTACTTTCGTTCACAACAGGGTGGGGAGAGAAGCGGAAGAGAAACTGGGTGTGGGCAGAAGACTGCAGGGGTTAGTGAGAAAGAAAACCCCTATCACTCTCAGAAACCAGCTCCAGGGCTGTGTGAGAAATCAGCAGGCAAGAGGGGAGGCCACTGGGAACTGCCGGGGCTCACGGCAAAAGCGAGTGCCCACACCCCGGCCCCTCGCTGCTCAGGCTTCAGAAGACACTGGAACAGGGAGGACATGGCAGGGGGACAGGGAGAGGCAGCACAACAGGAAAGAGCAGCACGGCCAGGGGGCTGGCCACCCAGCACCCCCATGTCCCGCAGCAGCCCCACTTCCTGCTGCCCCCTGCGCCCCTGGAGCTGAGTAAGGGTCCTGGAGTCATGGACACATGGGTCCCCGTCACTGTGGGACTGTCCCATCTGGGCCTCAGTTTCCACATCAGTAAATAGCAAATTTGATACTGCCCAGCTGTGGCAAGCTAGGTCCGAGCCCTCCTTGCTTGACTCTGTGAGACCTAATGAAGAGACTGCCTCTCACTAATCCCCAACTAACTAGCCCTCCCCTATGCCTATCACTGACACGGGACAAGAGCCTCAGGGGCAGGTCATGGGGGCAATGGGTTCTGCTCAGGGCCTGGTCTTTCCAACACGGGACCAAGGTTTAACCGCCTGCTTCTGCAAACAACTTGAAAAACCTGACAACAGGGGCACCTGGGTAGCTTGGTCTGTTAAGTGTCTGCCTTCGGCTCAGGTCATGATCCCAGAGTCCTGGGATCGAGTCCCATATAGGGCTCCTTGCTCAGTGGGGAGCCTGCTCTCCCTTTGCCCCTCCCCCTGCTCATGCTCTCTCTTTCAAATAAATAAATAAATAAAATCTTTAAACAGTAACAACAGGGGCGCCTGGGTGGCTCAGTGGGTTAAACCTCTGCCTTCAGCTCAGGTCATGATCTCAGAGTCCTGGGATCAAGCCCTGCATTGGCCTTGCTGCTCAGCAGGGTGCCTACTTCCCCTTCTCTCTCTGCCTACTTATGATCTCTCTCTGTCAAATAAATATATAAAATCTTTAAAAAAAAATCCATTCGTTAGCCTTGGACAAGTAACTGGGCAACCAGGATCGGAGGGGCTGCGATCACAGAGAGGGGGGGCAGTGCAACAGGTGAGGCTGACCCTGGACACCTCTTCTCCCTTAAAGCACCCACTTACATGCAGAGGCTAAAAAGCAGAGACCCCAAGCAGAGCTTCCCTCCAACCCATGGGCTGAAGAGACAGAAGTTTGCATCAGTGCGAGGAAGGAAGCCTCTTCCTAAGTCCTGAGAGGGTGAGTGAGGGCATCCGTAACCAAACCACCTGCCAGAAGCTGGAATACATCTCTGGAAGAAAATAAATGATTCGGAACCCCAAATTATCCCCAGGACTTTTCATACACAACATCCAGGATTCTACCAAAGCCATGAGAAAAATAAATAAAGATGCCAGAGATACACCCAAAGGAGATCCAGACATTAAAATGATTAGAAATGAAATACAAAACTGAAATTAATGAAAGTTCGGGAAGGCCTCTCACACAATGGAGAACTGCAGCAGAGAATGTGAAACTGTAAAAATTAATCAAATGGGAATTCTACAACTGGAAATCTAACCAAAGCTAAAAGAGCTCAATAAATGGGTTCCACTAGAGCTTAGAACAACGAAGGGGGGATTAGGGAACCACAAGGTAAGTCAGAAAATATCCAGACCAAGGCATAGAGGAAAAAATGTTGGGAAATACAAAAAAGAACAGGAGAGACTCATAGGACGTGGCGGAAAGAGCTAACATAACATGTAATGAGAAGCCCAGGAGCAATATTTAAAGAGATAATAACTGAAAATTTCACAAAATAAGTGGAAAACATCGAGCTGAGCCACACACAGATAAAAGAAACACTGGGAACTCCAAAGAAGAGCACAGTCAGGCAAATCATTATCAAACTACTCAACGCCGAAGATAAATTCTTAAATTAGGTAGACACACGGCCTTCAAAGGAAAACCTAAGACGAACAGCTGACTCCTCGACAGAAACAATGGAAACCGTAAGACAATGGAGTGATACATGGCCAAGGCCAGGAGTCATGAGAATGCTGCACCAGAGTGATACATTGAGATAAACTAGCCTTCAAAAAGGGGCACCTGGGTGGCTCAGTTGGGTAAGTATCTGACTCTTGACTTCGGCTCAGGTCATGATCTCAGGGTCGTGGGATCGAGCCTGCCATCAGGCTCTATATTCAGTGGGAAATCTGCTTGGGATTCTCTTACCCTCTCCCTCTGCCCTCCTCGGTGCTTGCGCACTCTCTCTCAGATAAACAAATAAATCTTAAAAAAAAAAAAAAAAGCCTTCAAAGAAAAACTAGCAAAACTGGCCGTCAGGGAATCTGTCAAGAAATACTAAGGGGAGTGCTTTTGACTGAAGGAAAACCATTTCCTTCAGTCAGTTGCAGAAGGAATGTAGAAGGAATTGCAGAAGAAATGAAATGCATGAGACAGAGTAAATATGCAGGGAAATCTAAAAGAATACTGACTGTACAAAATACTCATAAGGACTCCTGGGATCGAAAATGCAGCATTGGGGACGACTGGCTGCATGAGAAATGGTATGGATTTTTTTTTTTTTTAATTAGGCTCCATATCCAACATGGGACTTGAACTCATGACCCTGAGATCAAGAGTCGGATGCTCTACTGACTGAGTCAGCCCGGTGCAAATGCCCTGGGCCACCCCCAGGTCCCTCCATATGGGCAGCCATGGTCTGAGCTGAGCCTATCTCTCCTACAGAGTGGGCGCAGACACAGAAGCCATCTGGGTACCCCCATTTTCACCTCTCTGATCCAGTGCCCCCTGTGTCCCCTAAACAAGGCTCAGCCTCTTCACACAGTCCTGACCTCATTCCCCATTGGTCCCCACAGCCTACTTTCCAATCAAATGTCCCCTGGGTCACTGCCACCCCAGTCTGCTACACTTTCCTGCCCTTGGGCTTCAAGACCTAACTCAATCAGATGGCATACTGGGCAGCCCAAAGATTGCCATCCATCCCAAGACAGAGCAGACGACTCCTCTCCTGTGCCTCCCCTTGGCCCTCCCCTCTCTGCAGCAGCCCGCACACCCCATGCACGTGGCCCTTTCATGGCTGTCCTGCACACCCTGCCCCACAAGCTCCCAGAAAGTCAGCCCCAGCACTCCACTGCCAACTCACACTTGTCTCCACTCCACAGAGGAATTCAGGGAGGGCATGTGGTGGGTGGCCTGGGGCTCTCTGGGCCTTATAGTACTTGTGAAGACAATCCTGGAAGCAGAGAATTTGTGCCCAGGAGATTCACAAAGGGCAGGAATGTGGCCAGGCCAGGGCAGCCAACTCCTCAGGGCCTTCTGCTGTGTTTGTAAGCAAAGCAGCAGTGATACCCACGTTCAGATCCTACGGAGTCTCCTTAAACAGGGGAAATACCTGTTTCTATCTCCTCTCTTCCACTCCCTCCCCGGCTATCTGAGGAGACCTAGCAAGAGCCTGAGCAGGATCAGTGACCACTGTGAGGTCTCCCTCAAGGCCAGCTGCGGGGACCCTGGGCGTGGGCTGGCCAGGGAGATTCTGGGGAAATCACCTCCCACAGATGTCCCTCAAGAGAGGGGGGAGGAGAAAGTTGGTATTCTCTGTAAAATATGAAACTCTGCCCAGGAGCAGAGTTCTAGAATGTCCACATTAAAGGAGGTTTCCAGATGATCTGGAAGGTCCAACCCTTTCACTGGCAAACAGGTCTCAGAGAAAGCCTGCTGCTCATGGAGGGTTCTTAGCCCTCGCCTACTTTGCCCTTATCCGTGCTCCCAACCTTACACTCGGGGACACCAGACCCTTGTCTCACCCCTTCGCCCTCAGCTCCTGCCCTGGGCCCTAAGAACACAGCCCACCCCACCCAGCTATCTAGGTCTCTCCTGCCAACACAGGCTCCTCCAGAACCAGAGAAAGGTGGGGAGGGTCTTGAAGCTCTCCTCCCAGTAGCTGAACACAGGGCAGGCCAAGCCCAAGACAGGCCTGGGAGGTCCTGGAGGCCAGCCCTGGCTGAAGACAGTAGCTCTGACCACAGACGGCTTTCAGCTTGCACATCCAGGGTCCGGAGCCATGGGCCTCTTTCAGGGATGGACGGACACACACACACACACCCAACAATCTTCTGTGTGCTTTGGGCTCTGCACACGCACGCTCACCCCCATGTCTAATGTAGACAAGGCCTGGTTTGTGGCTACCAGAGGCCAGACCCCTGAGGCCCATGAAAACAAGGTGACAAGCAACTGTCCCAAACGGTTCACAAGTGCTCCGGAGGCTGGTGGTCACTTCCTTCCAGACAGATTATAGAGTGTTCAAACCCCATGACCTGATAAGCCTGCTCTGGGGAAATTATACCATAGAAATAGTACCAAAACAGGGTCAAACAAAACCGAATGTTCCACACAGAAATGCTTCTGGTAGCATCATCTGTAACATCCCCAGGCAGACATTTCTGGGCTCTCTTCTGGCGGAGTCTCCCAGAGGACACTGCAAGCACCCCGCCCAGACAGTGGCCACGATGGGAGCAGGGGGCAGGGGGTATGGTGAGCTCAGGACAGTGTCATCAGAACACCCGGAAACTTCCCTAGAAGTAAAGTACAAGGTTGGTATGGAACACGGACACTGGAAACAGATGGACTGTAGCGATTTCTTGTTTGGTGGTTGCTCAGCAGTTTAATTCTGGAAACTTGATGGTTGGTCTGATAGTAAATGAAACTTTGAAAGAGCCCAGTGGCTTCCCCACTCATGGGCAGAAGACACTGTACTCCGGCTGTTCTCCCAAAGGGCAACGCTGGCCACACTATGGGGACAGGTACAGACAGAGGGCAGTCAAAGC